CAGCCCTGGTTATTCAAAGGCACAGAAAGAGTGCTCAGATATCAAAGTTTCCAGAATTCTAGGAATGTCACATCTGATATGAATAAAAACAAGTAAGGCTTCTCAAGACTTGATATAGACTCATGAAATTGGCATTCCTTGTTTGGTTAAGGTGTTCTGACTATCTTCTCAAAAACAACTATCCCTAACATTCTCCACTGTTGATTCCTGTACTTGACTGTATTTTCCCTGAGGAGACCACAGCCTTTCCTTGCTTTTAGTCTTCTCTGGCTCTGAGATGGAGCACATAGGAAGTCGTTCCACTGTGGCCAATTCACCCATTCCCTGAAGCTCTGCCACTTGTACTACAGAGCACACCATGCTTGTGGCCTTCTTCAGGATGGAGAGAAGCCGCTGACATACAGATGAGATGAATGAATGACACAAATCCAGCTGGTTTATTATTATTGGGATAGCAAGATTTCTCCATCTCAAAAGGGACTCCCATCAATATTTTTGTGTTTCTATCCCCCCTCATCAAAAAGACGTACTATGAAATCCAGTACATTTAACAATTCCCAAGACACTGGGTTCTTCTCACGGGGAGCCACTGTTAACAAAAGTACCACTGTCTTGTTCAGTGTGGCATAATAAAACACCACTTTCCATTATAAATTTAAATCAGCATTAGATGATGTGGCTGATACTGCTTGAATCACTGTAAAGGTGTGTCATTCAGATAATTTTTCAAAATAAAAATGGAACTTCATCAAATTGACAGAGAGCTTGCTTTTATTTTATTTTATGATGGTTTAAGAATCAAAGAACCTGATGCTAACTGGATAGATGTGGTGGACCTTTCCTGACTTCTGACAGTGACTCAGCTCATTTTATTAACAAGTTAAAGCTAAGTAAATTATGAATCAATGCCCACAAAGCAGGAAAAAATGCCAGTTTCCCACTAAAAATCGCAAAGTGTGATAAACCTATTTCCGTTAAGAAAACTGCTGGAGTTTTTACTGGGGGTTTTCCCAAGCAAACAGAGGCAAAGATATATAAACCAAAAGCGGAAGGTAAGCACATTTCCTCTTAGTGTTTTTATGCTGGACACTAATGCAAACACAGTGAATAATCCAGAGCTGTTACATGTCATCCTCCTCTCCAAATCTGATCGGAAGAGATAACCTTCCCCACACTTGCCCATTCCAGTTGGGCTGGCACAGGGACACGGCGCACATCCTGTGGGGACGGCAGAGCAGCAGGGCAAAGCCAAGGAAGTGAAATGTCCACTTCATTCACCAGCCATACAAAGTACCACCATCTTTCCCCTCCTCTCCATTTTCCCTTCCACGATTAGCTACATTATCAACTACTGTGATCATTTAACATCTTCTGGCTTCTAAACCTGCAACTCTCAGCCAAGCCACAGTCACCTGTCTTCATGTCAGCAGCAAAAGCTACTCAGTGTCTGCTTCATGCCACGGAACGTGCAAAGTGCCCTACCTGCTTTGGTTCATTTACTTCTAATTCCCTATGAGGTGCAAACTGAGGATAAGAAGAGCTGAGAAACACCATATAACCAAGTGGTATTACTGCCAAAAAATGTTTACAATGAATCTGTTCAGTAAGAGACAATCATACACATCCAAACCGTAAAACATTCTGCAAAACAAATGTCCCGAGTTCTTAAAAAAACTGTCAGTGTCAAGAAAGACAATAATAATGATAGTGATGATAATTTTTAAAAGCTGGGGAATTTCATTAGATTCAAGAAGACAAAAAAGAAATGAGAACTGTGATCTCTGTTAGATTCTGAATTGTAAAAAGGAATAAAGAAAAAAACTCTAGCTATAAAAAAACATTATCTCCACAATTGGAGAAATTGGAATATTGATTGTATATTAGATAATAACATTATATCAATGTTAAATTTCCTGAGTGTGATAATTACATTGTGAATATACAATGTCCTTCTTAGGGAGTCATTCCTGAAGTAGATCGGGTTAAAGTGCAGTGATACTTGCAACAGTCTCTCAGGTAGTTCAGCAACAGCAAACAAACAAATAAAGTATCTTCCAAGTTAGAGAGGCAAAGAGTAAAAGAAATAGCCAGAGAGAGAAGGTGGCAACATATTAACAACATTTGGGTTTAGGATGTATGGGTGTTCATTGTACTATTCTTCCAGTTTTTTAGTATGTTATAAACTTTCAAAAGAGTTGAAAAAAATGAAACACCATAAAATAAAATGTTTTTTAAAAAAAGCACCAAGGGGGAGCATCAGGAACATAAACAATTAGTAACTTGAGGCTGGGATTCAGATATCAGGATTTTGGGTTGCTGCTGTTCCTGACTCCACTGATGGCTAAAATCTTTTTCTATATTTATTGTTTTAATAGCTGTGTACAAAAAAATGATACATGGATTGCTTTTCTCTTATATTCTTGTCAAGAGTTGTTGTGACTACTAAGATGAGATGAAAAAGAGGAGGTCTCAATGGATGGTTCTTAGCTTCATCACTGTGAAAAATGTATAAAAACCTCTTGTAAAACAGAGTCAGGAAACTAGAAGAGAGAGCTCTCAAGCACGTCGCTTAATGCATACTACTGACCCCAACAGGAAGAGACTACCTTGCATCTCTGACAGGAAGTGATATTACCTTACTACCTCAGCCGGAGGAAGGAGAGATCCCTTCTTGCCCAGTAACAGTTCAGACAATGGGAGGCTGCCATAACTCAGCCAATGAAATGTCACTACACTTCTGTCAGTTTCCTCCAATGGACTCTTCCTTTACAACAAGCCTCTCCCAACTCCATAAGAGTATTCATCTCCTTTGTTTCTCTGCACTGACACATGGTTTGCCATTAGACTGAATGTCGTGAGTTGTAATTCTTGTTCCAGAATAAATCCATTTTGCTGCTGATAGAGCTCGCTGTCTATTTGTTTAAGGTCAACACTATTTTGTGGAGCATGATTCTCAGCCAGGCAGAATGCAATGAGAAGATGAAAAGCCCATGGCTAATGTCATTCAAAACTCAACTGGAAATTAAATAAAATTTTAAAATGAATAAACTCATCTCAACTTATAGGAGTATATCTGATAACTGGAAAGTGTGCCTGTCCCTAGTGTCTGTGAACTTAATAGATGGTTATCATTCACACTGCTTTGCTGATGGATCCTGTGCAAGGAGGCTAAGAGTTTGTACATACTGTAACTGTAAAATAAGTATAATATAATTGTTAAAAAAACTCTAACATCTTCTGGTCCATATTTCCAATTGCTCATCAGGCACATATACATACATCCCATATAGCCACTTAAAACTCAAAACCTGAAGTCTCTTTATTTATTAATCTTTCTTTCCCACTCTCTTCTCTACCCAACACCCTCTTTCTCTCTATTCCACCACTCTTATATTTTCAATTTCTGTTAATGGCACAGTTTTCCATATTGGTTGCTAGGGGTGAAATTCAGGGATGAATTTTGGCCTCTCCTATTTACTCAATATATGCATGAATAATTAGTGACTTTGCCTCCTAAATAATAGCTTCTTGAATACGTTCTCCACCCTTAATGCTTTGCTTCAGTTCAAGTCCTCCTATTTCTTACAAGGACTTCTGCAATAACCTCTTCCTTATTTTCTCTACATCATCTCCTTGCTTCCAGCCTCTATTACTTCCATCTCGTGACCTGAATTCTTTCTCTGTAACAATAATCTGATGGATTTCTCTCATAATAAAGAGCCTGTAATGATTCTTGTCTAACTTCATTAGCAAAGTACACACTGGATGATGTCACCTTAGCTACTGGACCCTCCCTCCATGTGTGTACGTACCCCACCTTATCTCTTGCCTACATTCCTCTTCCTGCTTTGGATGCTGTTCTCCATTTACCCATCAGGAAAAGCCTTAATCTTCCTTCCATGTCTAGATTATTGCCTTTCTTTCCCTGTAGCAGAGTTAGGGACATTTTCCTTAAGCTCATGTGGCATCTTTATTTTATCGTTTATTCAAATAGCATTACTATACTTTGTTTACATGTCTGTCCTCACGAAATCCTGTAAGGGCAGGGCCATGTTCTAATAGTCTTTGCATCCCCACACTCAGCACGATGTCCAACACGCAGCAGATTATTATTACATGAACAGATGTATAGCTCTAAATAAAGGTGTGGGCCTAAATTTTTTAAAAGATGGTTTATTGGACTTAAAACACTGTAAACAACTCATAGGCCACACCAACAACAATGAAACCACAGACTGCTGGTGAAATCCAAGACTCAGAGCTTTCATTCCTGCTGCCAATTCAACCTAGTATTCTGCCTCCCAAATGCTTAACTCTAGGGTATTGCACAGGGATTCCCCACAAGAACATTTTTCCCCTGTGCATGTCTGAGAGTAACCCCTCAGTAGCTCAAATCAAGCCAGACGACAAGTGGCCCCGACAGCGAAAAGAGTGACATGCTGTTCACATCACTGGAGGGTTAGGCAGTCCAAGGGCAGGAACTGAAGTGTCAAGATTTTAAATTTTTCTCCCAGAAACTCTTTATGAGGGTGGTATCAACATAAAGGATTCGGTGAGTAGTTGCCTTCTCATCGCCCTTATAAAATCCGGTGTCCTGTTATGCTATACTCTCAGTCTAACACTACTGATCCACGTGCTGAAAGGCACCACCCTATTGTACATTTGGAAAGCATTTCAAGCTGCGGGGAAGTTTTCTTAAAATTGAGTCTCTGAGACCAGCTAAGGAGGTGGGACAGACAGAGACATTCTGATGTTTTCCCAGCATCAGACACTTTAGTTGGCTGCCAATATGTATTTTTTTTTTACCCCCCCCATGGAAAATAAAACAGATGAGATATTTGATCCACACGCTTTGTGTATGTACTTTTAAAATGTCACCTTTGGGTAACTCAACCCACCAATGGATTATTAATAAAATTCAGCAACTGTCAAAGCACTTCTCCATGTGGAAGGAGGTTTGGCTGCGACACCTATTAGAAGAGAGAGACAGATGGCCTTACCTCTCAGCTCCTGCGTCCACAGCTGTGAGTGGAGGTAACTGGGAGGAGGGGTTATGGGGGCTCCCCTGTACATTATGTCCCGGAGAAGGGTGACTGACAGGATGTGGGGGTGGCACGGCCCCAGCAGCTGTTCCGCTTCGGCTTGAATGATTGCTGGAGAAAATGGAAGCTGAAATCAAGGGAGAACAAGCATCAGACTGCGCCCCAAGTGAAGCCCACATTTTTTAAATACCAAAGGCTGACAGCAAGCATATTTTGGGGGCTTGTTTGTTTTCCTCTTGGTGGTTTTAAGGAAACAGTTCTCCCCTTATTGGATATACACAGCTTTTGTTTTCATGTGCCCTTATGGCTGCTCACATTCTGCTGGTTCCAGGCTGACGTCCATGGTTTCCTATAAGCACTGCCTTGCCCCACCCGTTTCCTGTCTGGACACTGTATAATTAGTCAGTCTTGTAGGTTTGCATCTGGGCGAAGGTCTCTGCATTAGCACTTTTCAGTCAGGAGGGATGGCGTTCAGGTAACCGGAGATTTGCTCTGCTGACCTAGAAGGGTACAACACAGGCCACCCTCTTCTTCTCGTCGCTGCTGCGAGCTGCTGTGGGTCAGGCCTAGGTTTCTCTCTGTCACTAAAATCAATGTAATGAGAATGGAGCTTCCCCTGATCCTAGCACCAACGCAGGATCCTACACTCTTAACTTCAGAGTCTAACTGACCCCAGGCATTTCCCTGATGGTGTGACGGATGGATGTACTTGGTCTTCATCAAGAATGAGTCTTCTCCCACCGCTGTAAAATATGAAAAGAGGGTCTCAAATGTACCTCTGGGATATTCTCCCGCTGTTGCCGATTATGACACAGAGAGTGAGTTAAAGCCTCATTCATAGGGGCAGCCTAGCCTTTGAGAACTGTATGTGACCTCAAACTTAAATATGTGCCCATTTAGATTGGCTAATTGGTACCATGTCACAGAAGAAACTGGGGCTTGTCACTTGCAGAGTCTATCACTACCAGAGAGGCTCTCTTAGTATCTGGGACCTATATGGCAGACATCTCATTATAGTGCAATCATACCAGCATCATTATGCTGACTCTCTTTAAACTTCCTTCTCTATACAAAGCTATGCTGAGCTTTATGCCCATCCCTGCTCTTTCTGCACTTACTCTACTGATATCAAAGAATAAATGGATTTTTTAAAATAAAAGGAATCAGGCTAAGGATTAAGAAAAAGAAGCCACATAATCAAAGAGATTTGAAGGTTTAAAAGTTCAGGGAGCTGTATTTTTATACCAGTTCCAGTTTTCTCCAACTTCTCTTGGATAGAATTAATACCCCAGATGATCCAGCCCCCAAAAGCTTAATCCAATGGAATAAGAGTTCAAGTAGTTAAAGGAACATGTGAAGAGGCAGAATTATCATCTTCCCGCTTAAAAAGCTACTGACAGGGGTGTGATCTGATTTGAAGGGTTTATTTCTGGTAAGTCAGCATTGTGTCAGGTTAACTCTTGTCCTCAGAAACCTGCATCCTCCACAGCCTTCCACGTCTTCAAGAGGTGGTGTGACGAGAAAATGCTTACCAGCTCAAAATGGCAAAGCAAAGTGTCTGTTGTGCGTCAGCCTCCAAAAAAGTTGCACATTTGCAAACTCGCTAGTCACCTTATGAATCACTACCCTCATTTATGCTCAGTTCGCTCAGGCAACCACAATTCTGCTTGTATTCCAAATAATAATTTTACCCAAGAGAGGAGGCTGTTTGGATTCACTGTGGCAATAGTTTTGGGACTGGTGTTTGTCAGCAGGGAGCTCGGTGTTTTATACACTATTCCAAAAACTAATGGAATAATAAGAGGTCACAGAGACACTTTGGAAACACAGCCAATTTTTTTTCCTGCTTTAGTGTAGTAATGTGAGTGCTCCTGTTTGTTTTGTTGTAGTTGCTGAGTGCACCCCTCACTTATTATCCCCCGGAGGTATTTTTGTATGTAAGTGTGTGTTTATCACAAGGGAAGCACTGCCCCTGCTGTTTATAACCCCATGGGCAACAGGGAAACTTGGTGTGCACACTTTATGCTCTACTCGATGGTTCAACAGAAAATGTGTTGCTTCCCAGAGGCCTGCATTAGCTATATTAGCTACATTTTTGCATGAGCTGCAATGAAATAGGCTGGGAAAAAATTTTTTTCAGCTTGCTGCACACTGAAAGCTAGGCCTGATTAAGGGCTTCTCCTTCATTCCATGTAAAAGCCAGATCTATCCATTTATACATCATCCATCCATCCATCTATCCATCCACCAAACATTATTGTTTACTCTGTATTTATTAAGTGGTACATGCTAACCACTGTACTATATGTGGGTCCCTGTCCTTGAGGAGGTTGCAGTTTAGAGAGGAAAAGAGACTGCTATACATCAAGTCTACCAAAATAAAGGACTTACTAGAGTAGAGTATCAGACAGTGTTCAAAGTGTTTTAACACATTATCACTATCCTATTTGTGGACCCATAATGTGCCCCCAAACTCTGGCCAAACCAGACAACTGACCACATCTCAACTATATCATGACAAGTTATGCTATACTGTGCTTTTGCCTATAATGCCCTCTAACTTTGTCTACTTATTTTAATACTTCTGTTTTGTGCAGAGTTACTTGTGTTCTTTTCATTCCTCTCTCAACAGCCAATGATTCCAGATATTTATGAAGCACCTACTGTGTGGCAGACACTAAGCTAGGCCCTGGGATAGGCTAGGGAACAAGAAATCCTTGGTGCCTATTATCTCCAACAGCATCATTCATATCAGTTTCTTGAGCAAGCAAAAATGAACACAATCTAAGTGTCAGCTGACACAATCCATCTTGGGGTTTGGTGAGTAGGACAAGGACAGGAAGGAAGAGTTACCCACTGGTTCCTGTTTCCCACTAGTCAAGGGTTGCCCCATAGGGCATTTCTCTCACACATCTAAGTAGGCGCACGAGCCAGAGTGGCTAAAGGTTCTCAGATATGCTCTGTACAAGAGCATCAGAGAGGTTTGAGGACAGAAAGCCAAGATACATGGTACAGTTGAGGGGAGAACCTACTAAGTAATACTGGTACAGATGATTGCCATAGCAACAGAATAGGTGGAGAGGATGTAAGATGGTACATAAGAGGAGTCTGGTATAGGGCCAAGGTCTTACCAACATGCCCTCTAGCTGTGCTGAGGTCAAGTGTTGACTGACCAACAGTCAAACATACAACTACAGCTCGCCCATCCACCGCTACTGCCAGTGAGTGGTACTGGAAAATGCAGTGGTCCTTTGAATAAGGACCCATGAGAATGAGAAAGGGAAGATTTTCGAGTACAAGTTAAAGTCTGTATTTGGAAAGTATACTGGACAGTATCTTACACAGGGCATAAGAAATTATCCCTCAGCAAAATGAGGTCCATGACTTGCTTCTATTTTCTAACAGATGGGATGAGAGGTATAAGACAAAGTCTCCTCTAGTGAGATAATTTAGCAGAAGCTTACATTTCAGCATCTACACAGAGCAGTTTGTGTGCAGAGTCCAGGGAAAGTCTGCTGGTTGTGGATGTTGCCTGTGGCCAATATAACCACCAGAGATCTAGAGGAAGTAACAGGAGACAAAGCATGTCTTTCTAACATATATCCAACCCTCATTTCATATACTTTTCAAATAAAATGGACAAAATTCTGAGTCAGAGAGCTGTAGCTTTAGTAGGATTGCCCTTGGCCTCTACCAAAAATTCACATTTCTCAGAAATTTTCACAATGGCACAGTAATGCCTCTCTTACTAACACTGACTTCTAGAAATTTCCAATTATATTGCAGTCATACCTCCAGGATTCCAACTTACTTAATACAGTCTAAGAATATTATTTCATTCATTCATTCACTCATTCATTCATTCAAACACACTTTTCCAGCCCCTACTCTATCAAGCAGGTGCCAGTCTCTCAGTGTTTGAAGTCTGAATACCTGCCGACTTCCCATAGACCTGCCCACCACAACACACGCTTCCAGACAAATGCTCTGGCTTTGCTAAATGATTTTTTAACACCAGGAAGAAAATCTCCCCGTTAAGAGTGCAATTCTAAGGTCATTCACTAAAGGAAAAATTTCCTTCCTTCCATACACACTCAAAATGATTTTCCAAACTCAACCAATGTGGCATTTGAGGCCTATGGATCAAAGCGTAAGAAAGAAAACTGATTCCCCCAGAATCCATGGCAATATTAACAAAACTCTTGTGATCAAATCAACCGGCACATACAGGCTGCCCACAGGGATGGCCTTCATTGTCTGGTGTCACCTCAGGGGTCAGTGCTGCTTTGAAGGCTGGAAGGGGGCTTTGAGGTGACCCTCCAGACGGGGCCAATGACTGGCAGCTGGAACAACTGATTAGGCACGGGAGAGAACTTATTGGAAATTCTTATTGCTTTTGTGATTAAGAAATGGTGGACTCCCCAAGGAAATAAAAGCCTGGTCTTGAAATGAATTCATGAGCCCTGCCTTTAGCAGAGGACCAGGAGCTCGCCTCCCTGCTGCTTTGGGCTTTCTCTCTCTCCAGCGCTTGGCTCACTGTTGTCTCCCACCCCGTCTTCTGTAGAGGTAGGTAGAGGTGACTCAGTGGGGCTTTGTAACACTGACAAAGCAGCATCTGTTGATCGAGGTAGTACCCAGATACCATCTCATTGGTTATGTGGACCAGGGTATTCTAGGCGTGGCACCTTTAACTAGCTCAGCTAGTTAATTTGAGCTAATGGGCAGCTCTCTGTCTCGATCCAAATGAAAGCAATTAATCTCTATTTCTGATGAGTACAGACAGGGCGCCCTTGGGGATACTTCAGCTCTCACATATTCACTGTATGAATGGAGGGAGGAAAGAAGTGGTAGTTGCTTCGAAAATGAATCCTGTTTTTCTCAGGCCCACCCCTAGAACTGGGGAAGGCTGCCATAGACACTGCCTGGCAACTATGGCTTCATCACTTTAGAGGCAGGGAAACTCTCCCTTGCCAGGCTGAGGTGTATTATAAAACAGCCAAGTGGAAGGCACACTGTTGTTGAAAAACGTATGGGTATCTCGAGTCCTGCAAACAAATCACCAGGGTAAAACATCAATTTGGATTCACTAGGTCTTAGAGGCAGGGAGTGCTGAGATTCTGAATTTCT